TGTATGAACTTTTATTGTCTATTCCCTTACATATGTACCTAGAGGGGGGATTTATGGGGCAATGTTTACAGTTTTTGAGAAAGTGTCAAATTTTTTAAAGTAGATGCTCCATTTTACATTCTCATCAATAGAATATGAGGATTTTGATTTGTCCATGTTTTCACCAGTTGTTGTCAGCCTATTTTGATAATAGACATTCTACTGTGAACACGTGGAATGATATATTATGGTGGTTTTGATTTGCATTTCCCTAATGACTACTAATATTAAACATTTTTTGTATTTACTACCCATATGTATATCTTCTTTGGTGCAGTATTCAATCAAATATCTTGCCCACTTTTAAATTGGCTTTTTTTCTTTTTATTATGCAGTTGTAGGAATTCTTTGTATATTTTGAATATATTTTCTTATTTAGATATATGATTTGCAAATGTTTTTTTTTTAGTTTTTAATAGTATCTTTTTAAGAACAAAAGTTCTTTTTTTATTTGGATGAGTCTAATTTATCTTTTTTTTTCTTTTGTGGCTTGTGCTTTGGGAGTTATATCTAAGTAATCATTGTCTAACCCAAGGCCATGATGAATTATGGCCATAGTTTTTTCTAAGTGTTTTCTAGTTTTAGCTCTTACATTTAGTCTTGGATCTATTTTGAATTAATTTTTGTATATGGTGTAAGGTAGGGGTTCAACTTTCTTGTTTTGTTTGTGGAGGCCCAGTTGTTCCAACATCATTTTTGATGTGTGCTTATCTTTAACCTACCTCCAGCCCCACTATTGTCTGAATAATCTGGGTATGACTGCCATTATATTGTCATTTAATTTATTTTTAAATTAAATCATTAGGTAGCATATTTGGAATTCTAATTGGTAACACATTTGTACATCTAGAAAAATAAACACTCAGTCTACTCAAAGACGACAATAAAAAAGAACATTTGATTTCCTTCTAGCTCTTTTCTTTGCATTCGATATAGCTAAGATGTCTGTCCATTACATTTTATATCCTGAATGTTTTATTTTGTCACATTAATTTTTTAAATTATTGTTCAAGCACAGTTTTCTCCACTTTCCCCCCACCATCCTCCCCTGCCCTACCCACCACTACTTTTCACCCTCAATGCTACCCACCTTTGGCTTTATCCTTAGGTCTTTTATACTTGTTCCTTGACAATCCTTTTTCTTTCCCTCTTTATCCCCCTCCTCCATCTCCTCTGGTTACTGTCATTCTTATATAAATTTGTCAGTTTTAATGACTGCAATAGATTCCATCTGTGGAATTGCTTCTGTTTATGTAACACATACTACTACCAGAGTATTTTACCTTAGCAAAAGTGGGATTCTGCCACCAGGTATTCTTATGTTCAGATTCTAGCTCATCTGCAATCTGCAGCTGTGAAACTGGTTATATAACTCAACCTGTGATTCCTGGTTTTCTCAGCTATAGATATAAAAATGTGGAAAACTCAGGAATCCTCTACAAAGGGTTGTGGTGACCATTCAACAAGCACTTCAAAAAGCCTATGGGATAATGCCAGACATATAAAGTCTCACTAAATGCTTACTCATATTTTGGAATTTTAGATTATCCTAATGTTTACGTGTAGATAATGCTGTAATAAGTGCATTAATCAATTATTTCCTTAGTAATAGAATTTCAGTGAGAAATCATATTTATATTTAGGTAAACTTTACTAATTGCAAAAAACCTATTTAAAAAATTCTCTAATATTTACCGTCCTGACAATGTATATATATTTTTTACTTTTTATTACAGAAAAAATGAAATTATACACTGTGGTAGAGAGAAGAGTTTTAGAACCCCATGTACCCATTATTTAGCTTGAATTTATCAACTCATTACTATTTTTATTTAATCTGTATGCTCACATCCATTTATCTTATTATTTTGAAGTTAATTCCAGATATCATATCACTTTATCTATAAATATTACAATATATATTGGTAAATGACAAAGAGTCATAAAAGAACATATGAACGGGGCCATTACCATAAGAAAATTTCAATAATGAATGTTAATATTATGCTAATTATTTTATTTCTTATTTAGTTTGTTGTTTTATTTCTAGTTCGTTAGATGTGTGTAATTAAAATCTGATTTTTCCCTGGCTGGCATAACTCAGTGGATTGAGCATGGGCTGAGAACCAAAGCACCTCTGGTTCAATTCCCAGTCAGGGCACATGCCTGGGTTGTGGGCCAGGTCCCTAGTGGGGACCACATGAGAGGCAACCACACATTGATGTTTCTCTCTCTCTCTTTCTCCCTCCCTTCCCCTCTCTAAAATAAATAAATAAAATCTTTAAAAAAATATAACTGATTTTTAGGTAACCACTAGCCTACTTATTACTTAGGATTGGTATTCATGATTTTTCTAATTCTTAATTTAACTCTATGACTGTTATTTAAACTAGCTTATTGTTTATTGACTTCCTACTATGTGCCACAGTTTTACATAATTGCTTCCAATCCTTCTACCCATCACAATACTGAATTCATCCCTATTTATACTTGAATAACCTGAGGTTAAGTGACATCCAGTGGAGTGGAGAATGGCACAAAACCAAGTTTCAATTTCCAAGTCTGTCAGACTACAGGGCTGGCTCAGACACACACCCCTGTAGCACCACCCTGCTTTCTAGCTACTTCTCTTCCCACATGTTGAGGCTTAACCAATGTTGAGTTTTTCATTCAGATCTTCTCAGGCTACTCTGGCCCATGATGAGATCCAATTCTGGGAATTATTTTCTGTCACTCATTCATCATATACTAGACTGCCTTCCATCAGTGTTACTTTTTTAAAAATGTGTACCCTGTCTTTTCAGAATGTAATCAGCACAATTCTTTCACTAGGTAAGTGCTTAAGAGATCTGTTAATAGTGGTATTGTGGTCCTAGAGTACCATGATGGCCATTGATAAACACCTTAAAAGTTAAGATTTTTCTTCTATTTATCCCAATAGTTTTTGGGTGTTCAGAAAAATCAGAGAGCTTAAATGTGATTGGAGAGCTTAAACTCTTAGATTATAAAATATAAGAAGCTGAGAGACTAAGAGAATCCACATATTTTGCTGAACTTCCTTTATATTGGGATTGACAATACCTAAATGATAAAAATATTAGGAATAGAGGAGGTGGGAGGAGAGAAATTTGGTGGAAATTTCTAGTTAAAAACTTTTCATTTTAATTTCCCATCTCAAGCATAAAGAAAAGTGTACTATACGTGTCCATATTTAATATGCTACATAATGGAATGATCTGAATTATATTTGAACACATGTACAAACATCAAATAAAAACCATTTTTCTATCAACTAGCCAATAGTAAGTCAAAATGCAGGCGAAATGTCCCCAAGAAAGTCAGTTTACTCAAGGAAAATGTTCAAATCAAGATGATAATTAATCTGTATCCTCACTGTCACAAATCTTTGTTGCATATCTTTGTAATCAGGAGTACTGATGTAACCTGCATGATAAATGTGAACCCTTTCCCTGAACCTTTAGTAAAAATAAACTGGTATTTCCAATCTGCTAACAAGATACATAAAGATGCAATTTTAATTTTTTGACATGGTTACAGGCTATTACAGAGTTTTCACGAAAGTAGAAAAATTGCAATAAAATTAGAAAGCAAAAGTCAGGTTTGATTATGTTTTAGGAGACATCAATTCAATAACACAATTTCATGGAGAACTAGGAATTTTCCACATATCAGTTGGAAAAGGAAATTAATGATGCCAATATCAGTTCATGTTTATTGTGCTATTTTTATGACAGAGGTTTGCTACCAGAACTAAGCTACATTGTTCTAAGAAGGAACCTTTACTGTTTAGAGACAACATTAATTAAAAGAAGAAAATATTTCAGCATTTAGATGGAAGTATAGTCAATAAACAGATTTTTTTACAGGAAGAAGATAGAAAGGGGTTCTGTTTAAATTATCTTCTAATATGGGAGTCTATGAGTTCAAACTGAGTGAGTAACTCTCTTAAGTGCTTTACACACATTATCTTATTTATCCACACAGCAATGCTGTTGAAGTCAGTTTTATGCTTCTCATTTGCCAGATGAGAAAATGGTCTCCACAGGGTTCCCCTACTTGCTTGGAACTACACAGCTAATATGAAATCAAGTGAAACTTCAGCTCCAGTGCTGAAGCCAAATCCCATAATAGTTCCACTAAACTAATAGTGGATGTGAGGACATTATGCAGGAAGGGTCTGGGGTGGCATGTTCCAATGAATGTCATCAGTGTCTGGATGCCTCCTTTTCTCATGGTGGTGTCAGAACTCTATGCAATGTGTTGTGATATGGGATGGTTTTTCATATGAGGCCTATTTGTCCAAAACTTCTGTCTTTTGGGGGATTAGACACCAATTCCTAGACATCTAAAATGTTGAGTCTGGGAGTAGGAAATCTATGTCTTTCTTACTGTTTCCATGCATCTCCTCTCTTCTATTTCCATAGATCCTCACCCTTCATCCAACACCATAGAGCATTGCTGCTGCCTCCCAGTGTCCCACTCTCAGTAATTTAGGACCCACTTCAAATCCTTCAAATACACAAGAAAAACACAAACCAGAACTGAGAGCATCCCAGTTTTGAAAGTAAGATGGCTCCAGTGCAATTTCTCTATACTATGTTGCAGGCAGGGATATTTTGTCTTTGCTTCTTGAAAAATGAGCCTGACACAGGGCAGTTATTCTACAAATACATATTAAACTGGGCATAAATTTCACGATGCAAATCCTAGCTCTCTTTTAGCTATGCAATCTTTTTCAAGGTTAACCTCTGGAAGCCTCATGTTTCTTATTTTTATATGAGAATAATGACTTCTGCCACTTGTGGCAGAATTATTGTGGAAAGCATACCATATTATTAATGTAGTGGAACATTACATAGCAACAATAACTAAGCTGTTACTACATCTAGAGTAATCAACTAAATACTTAAATATGTGTTTTCTCCTCTTATATTTTGCAGAGATTTCTGCTTTTTTTGAGGCTGGCACTTCAGTTACTTACATGTTTCAAGAACCCTACCCAGTGATGAAGAATCTAAGCTGGTCATCCTCAGCCATTTATGCAGAGTCGGCTCCATCTAAGGAAAACATTGCACTTAGCTTTATGACAGCCCAGACACCCAGCCTCTTGCTCTATATCAATTCTTCTTCTCAGGACTCCCTGACTGTGCTGCTCTGCAGGAATGGTGAGTACTGATGGCTTGAAGACTGATGGAGTGTTTTGTTGGGCTAGAGGGAAAGTACATGCCCTCCAGAACTCTGCATAATTTCAATCTAAATTTAGTCCCACCTGAGCAGCCTATTTCCAGACCTCCAGGCAAATCCTTAATTAAAGTTACTTTTATGAGTTGCAACTGGTATCCAGTCCAGTGTCAGTTCATTGCTGAAGCCTCAGATGCATTGACTTTAATTTGCCTTGAGTGTGCAGCAGTGATACTTTATTATTTATTCTGTGCTGGAATCCATTAACTGTAAAATAGATGGTTATGTGCATATCTGAAATACAGAAGGACACTGTCACATATATGCTGTCATCTTTACTGCAGTCTCCTTTATTGAGGTCTGTTAAAGCAACTAGTATAAATGTAGGGTGTATTAATTAGAAGTTGATTGCCTAGATCTTGGAAAGAAGTAATATATGTGAGTCATAACCTTGTAGGATATGGATCTGTGTTCTGAGAATCAAATTTTGAAAAGAATGTGAGCAAAATGGCCCTGACCAGTATGCCTCAGTTGTTTGGGCGTAGTCCTGCAAAATGAAAGGTCACCAGTTCAATTCTAGGTCAGGGCACATGCTTAGGTTGCAGTTTTGGTCTCCAATTGGGGCATGTACAACAGGCAACCAATCAATGTGTTTCTCTCTCACATCACTGTTTCTCTCTCTTTCTCTTACTCCTTCCCTTACCCTCTCTCTAAAATAAACAAATAAAATCATTTTAAAGAATGTGAAAAAATGAAATATGTGAAGATTAAAGGTATAAAAGAGTTAAAATTCACTTTATTCAAGGAATGGTTAAGGACACCAGTTTCAATAGCTATTAGAAAAAGTTAGGTTTTCTTCTCTAATGACTTAATTCGACACTGCCATAATGAAGACTGTTGATATTTGCCATGACCTAGGAAACTATACAATCAAAACCCTAGGGGAAGAAACAATGATCAGGATAGGCAATGAGGGCAAAAATATAAATGTCTTTGCAGTCTGGTCTCAAACAACACTATCTTGTGAACAAGAATATGTCTTTTCTCTCATTGCAATTTTCTGAATAGTGAGAAGAGCCTGGCCTTTACAACCATCCAACACAGGGATGGATTGTAGTAGGGCACTGAAGACAGGATCCTGAGATATGCAGTATGCACTGTGCCCTCTCCAGACCTTAGGCAGAGACTCTAGCTATTTAACTGGCTCTACTTTTTTTTTTTTAATTTTATTATTTTCACTTCTTGATTTTATCTTGCTTTAACTATTTATAGCTTGGAAATAAGAAATAATAAATGGGCCTAAAACAAGGATCAAACCTAACGAGCCTCTGAGTTGACTCAGGCCTGAAGTACAATAATAATAAGAATGTCCAAGAAGAAGTAACAGGATTCACTCATTCTTAGAACAACATTACAGAAGGAAAAGAGAGAGAGGGAGGAATAGAATAGAATGATAATGGGTAATTCCAGGAATATTTATTCTGTAAGAGCCTTTAAGAGAGAAAGGAAACAGTATGGGTTCTAGGCCTCTTATTTAAGAGCAGAACTGTATTTGATTTAGAGCCATTTTATTTTTGGCTTCTTTTATTTCATTTCATTTCATTTCTATCACCTTTAATCCCCACTATACCCTCTTCCACCTCTACCCATCACCTTTCCACTCCTCAATTACCACGATATTGTCTGTATCTGTAAGTTCCTTCTCTTTCTTTCTTTACCTTTTTTATTCCTCCATTCTACAACCGTCCCCACAGCTCACAGTCTGCTCTCAATCTGTAAATCTGTCTCTGTTTTGCTTGTTAGTTTAGTTAAATGATTAGAGTCCACATACAAGTGAAATCATATGGCATTTGTATTTTCTGGCTGGTTTATTTCACTTACATAATGTCTTCCAGGTTCATACATGCTGTTGCAATTGACAAAAATGTTCTTTTTACAGCCAAGTTGTATTTTGAAGTGTAAATGTTTCGTCATTTTTTTATTCACTCATCTACTGATGGACAAATGGGGTGCTTCCAAATCTTGGCTATTGTAAATAATGCTTAAATGAAAATAGAGGTGCTTATGTTCTTTCTAATTAGTGTTTTGGGTCCCTTCAGATATATTCCCAGAAGTGGGATTGCTAGGTCAAAAGGCAGAGCCATTTTTAATTTTTTGAGGTATCTCCATACTGTTTTCTATAGTGGCTGCACCAATCTGCATTCCTACCAACAGTACAAAAGGGTTCTCCTTTCTCCACATTCTCTTCAACATGTATTGTTTGTTGATCTATCGATGGAAACCATTCTGATGTGTGAAGTGATATCTCATTGTGGTTTTAATTTGACTTTCTCTGATAATTAGTGACATTGAGCATCTTTTCATATGTCTATGACCATCTGTATGTCCTCTTTGGAGAAGTATCTATTTAGGTCTTTTGCCCATTTTTTTTCATGGAATTGTTTGTTTTTTGGTATTGAGTTTATAAGTTCTTTATACATTTTTTATATTAGGCCTTTATCAGATGGTATCCACGAATATGTTCTCTCTTCACAGGGTAGTCTTTTTATTTTGTTGATCTTTTCCTTTTCTGTGTAAAACCTTTTAAATTTGATGTAGTCCCATTAGTTTATTTTACTTGTTTCCTTTGCCTAAGTAGATATATGAGAAAAATATTGTTATAAGAAATGTCAAAGATTTTATTGCTTGTTTTCTTCTAAGATTTTGATTATTAAGCTAAATAACATGTTACTAAGCAACTAATAGGTTAACAATGAAATCAAAGAAGAAATCAAAGGGTACCTGAAATAAATGAAAATAAGAACACAATAACCCAAAATGTGTTGGAAAGAATAAAAGCAGTTTTAGAGGGAAATTCATATCATTACAATTGTATCTCAGAAAACAAATAGCTCAAATAAATAATCTAACTTTACACTTAAATGAACTTGAAAATAACAATAAACAAGCCCAAAGTGTATAGGAGGAAGGAAATAATAAAAATAAGAGCAGAACAATGAAATAGAATCTACAAAACAATAAAAAAACCAATGAATCCAAGACCTGGTTCTTTGAAAAGATAAACTAGATTAAGAAACCTTTAATCATACTCATCAAATAAAAAAAAAAAGAGAGGACCCAAATAAATAAGATAATGAATGAAAAAGGAAAATTAACAACTGACACCAAAGAAAAACTAAAGATAGTAAGAAAATATAACAAACAACTATATGCTGACAAATTGGACAACCTGGATGAAATGGATAAATTCCCAGAAACATATAACCTTCAAAACTAAATCAGGAAGAATCAGAGAATCAGAATAGACAGATCACAACTCATGAAATTAAAGCAATAATCAAAATACTCTCCTCCCACCAAAAAAAAAAAAGCCTTGGAATGAGTGGCTTCACAGTTAAATTTTACCAAACATTCAGGGAAGATCTAACACCTATCCTTCTCAAACAATTTCAAAATTTCAAAAGGAGGGAAGACTCCTAAGCTCATTTTATGAGGCCAGCATTATCCTACTTCCAAAACCAGATAAGACATTACAAAGAAAGAAAATTATAAGCCAATATACCTGTTAAACACAATCACTAAAATCATCAACAAAATATTATATTAGAAAACCAAATACAGCAATACATGAAAAAGATCATATACTATGATCAAGTGGGATTTATCTCAGGGATGCAAAGTTGGTACAATATCCACAAATCAACCTGATATACCATACAAACCAAGTGAAGTATAAAACCACAAGATCATATGATAGACACAGAAAATGCACTTGTTAAAATCCACAGCCCATTCATGATAAAAACTCTCAGCAAAGTGGAAATAAAAGGAACATACCTCAATATAACAAAGGCCATAAATGAGAAATCCACAGCCAATATCATACACAACAGGCAAAAACTACGTGTTCCCCTTAAGATCAGGAACAAGACAGAGATGTCTGCTTTCACCAGTCTTATTCACCATAGTACTGGAAGTTCTAGTCTGAGCAATCAGACAAGAAGAAATAAAAGGCATCCAAATTGGGAAGAAAGAAGTAAAACTGTCATTATTTGCAGATGATGTGATACTGTATATAAAGAACCCTAAAGATTACACACACACACACACACACACACACACACACACTCAAGCCACTAGAACTGATAAATTAACTCAGTAAAGTAGCAGGATACAAAATAAATATCCAGAAATTGGTTTCATTTTTATATGCCAATAATGAACTATCAGAATGAGAAACTAAGAAAACAATCCCATTCATAACTGCTTCAAAAAGAATAAAATACCTATGAAAAAATTTAACCAAGGATGTACAAGACTTATACTCAGAAAATTGTAACTAAAGAAAGAAATTAAAGAATGTACAAGTAGAATCACATATCATGTTTAATGACAGGAAGAATTAACATCATGAAAACGCCCATACTACCCAAAGCAATCTGTAAATTTAAAGCAATTCATATCAAAATGCCAATGATATATTTCACAGAACTAGAACAAATATTACAAAAATATATGGGGGGCCATCAAAATGAAATTTATTTATAAAATTTGTGTATTTATTCTAACATATTTAAGGTTTGTTCACCTTCAAAATAATCTCCATTTGATGCAATACACTTATTGAGATTTTTTTTCCACTGCTCAAAGCAGTTTTTGAACTCATCAATTTTGATGGTCTTTTGTGTTTTTACCATTTTTTTACTTCTCCTCTTCCATGTCAGTGAATGTTTCCCTTTGAGGACTTTTTTATTCATCTGAAAAACAAAAAATAGTCTCTCAGGGTAAGATCAAATGAATAGGGAGGGTGGAGGATGGGGGAACATGCTATTTTTTGGTCAAAAAATGCTGAACATTCCGAGCAGTGTGGGCAGGTGCATTCATAAATCATCCACCATGAAATGGGCAAACACCTTGAAAGAGTTTTTTAAAAAATTCCACTGAAGCCAAATGTAGCCTCCCACAATAATGCCAGCTGGTACAC